TGACAAAGACGCATTCAAATCAGTCGTAGTAACTTAGCAGCATCAAACATTTAATTTTCACAGTTGGCAGGCCTAGGTAGTGAACGGTACCTCGACGTGAAAAGGGGGCGTGGTTTCGAAGTTTTGAGCTCACCATGTAATGTTTCCACCATGAACGGACCACAACAATTCTGATGTCAATAGCGTTAGTGCAGTAAAGTTTTCAACACTTGTAAAGGAGGCGAGTACTGAAAAGAATACTGTGATCGAAGCCAAAACTAAAGCTGAAGAGAAAAAAATGATTCACCGGATAAAAGATCTTGCCAAAAAAGCTCTCTTGGAATCAAATTCAGACGATTCTACACTTTTATCGCTCTCATCGGGATCGGAAAAGCTGGTCGAGAAGAAAACCGAATCGGATTCTTTTGAGAAAAATGCCGAAGTGAAGCTGTCGCTCCTAGCGTCTTTCAGCGAGAGTTCCAGTTCTGAAATGGCAAATATCTCAAGGAGTACTAAACGTGCTCATGAACCTGAAAATGACAGAGAATCCATAGTCTCCAGGATGAAGAAAAGATTTAAACTCGACAAAAATCATTACTACCAAAATAATGAGAAATTGAGAATGTCCTGCAAAGTTCATTTAACGCGATTAAACACGAAAGTTTCTAAGTCCTCTTCCTATGCATTAAGAAAGTCAAGAGAGTATCTGGAACATAAGGCACTCAAAAGGTATCTAGCATTTTCTGTAAAACCTATGTCTATTGTTTTGCATTGTTTGTTATAATTGAATTGCTGTTTGATGTTAGAGTTTCAAGTATATGATAGAATTATATACTTAAATATTAATTATATACTTACTACTAAATTGTAACTTTTCTGGCAAAAAGTGTTTCCGGCGTTACCTTAAGCTATAATCCCTAAATTTTAAACGAGCTGGCCAGATCTCACAATCAACTATAAAGTTTAGAACAAATTAACGTCACAATATATTCAGAGCCTAGAGGAAAGGACTAAGAGCTTATTATCTATTGTAGATCGGGAGGCTATAATAAAAATCTCTGTGGCAAATATGTCATGGTTATGGTTTAATTTGATTGTAAAATATAATAAATATAATACAAGTTCAGTCACGTAATATATACTTCCTTAAATCGACACTTCTTTGGAAATACACTAAATCTCCAATATATTGAAAAATGTTTAATTTTACTGTAATAATCGACTGTATTTATTTATATACATAATAATTTTATAGTAACTACAATTTCTATGGATTAAAGTTTTTGTATATTACAAACTTAATAGTTAATACCATTTCTTTCACATTTGCTTTTACAATGAAATAGATACATTTAAATATTATAATACAATAAATTTTTATGTGACAAATGTAATTTATATCTGAATTAGTTATTATCCAAAGTACCTTAATTATTTTCATTATCTTTACAGTTTTGTTAATCTGGATAAACTTGAAAAGAGACGCAAAGAAAATGCAAAGGAAGATTCCGATTCGTTGACGGATGACGATTCATCCTCAAAAATTTCGAAAAGCTCAAATAAACGAAAGGGAAAGACAAAGCTGGTCAAAGAAGAGACTTTGATGGATCATTTTGAAAAAGTACAGGACAGCGATGTCATGGCAACTGTAGAAATAAGTTCTGATACCGAAGAATCAGATTGTCAAATAAAAAATATAGACGATATACCTATGTCTGATGAAGCTCTAATATCCGAGGCAGATAGAATCGCGAAAAATAATCTGTTAAACTCCTCTGATTCTGATGGTAAGTAATTTGATATTAATAGAGATAGAATTGTGTATAAAATTTCTTTTAAAATGGAACATTCAAAGTATTACACATATAGTCAGCCACGAACTCCGCGTTGACGGTGGCGACACTATGTCGCGGTAGAAATTAGAAGCTCTGCTTATTTGTCGTATTAGGCTCGTTCTATAATACGTCATTTTTGGTCATAAGTCGTAAATCGTGATAATTTTACAAAATATGTTGTATGCCAATATTGTAAGCAGTAAAAATTTATTAATCACAGTCGAATGTGAAGCGAATACACGATTTGACGAGAATAACGGACCGATACCGTGAAAAGTGTTGATGACGAATTTTGTCTTGCATGCCACATCGTTATTATGTGCTTAATTTTGAAAATGTGACTTGTGTCGTACTTATCATAAAAATGGACGAAAACTAGTTATTATTGAATTTTATACATAAAAGCATCTTTTCCATTCCTTTCAACAGCTGTCAAATCGTGAAAAGTTTTCTTGCCTGAATAAGCTTCACTTTACGTGCCTTTTACGACTATTTACTAACTTTACTGAGGGGAAAAGGATAGTTTCCATCTATTTTTACAAGTTTTAAAGCGATTCCATTTATTAATTTTATCCAAATCCTCTTTATTTAAAAATGCCACCCAAGAAACTTTTGTGTTATTTTCTTAGAACATATATAAATGGAAGAGGAATGCCCATAAGATGAACAGAGAGGTCTACGTCCGATATACCTCTCTCTCTTGCTCTTTCTCTTGTGTGTGCTTTTTCGAAAGTGCACATGCGCACGG